TAGTCACTTGGTTGAATGATTTTTAATTTCATATGAATTTTCTATGGCATAATTAATTAATATATATATATATATATGTGAGGAGGAGTATAATTAATTTCAAAATCTCAAATTACGCTTCATTACTAAGCAATATCAGTTAGATAATTATTGAAAAAGGAATAGGCGTTCAGTGAAGAGTTACTCTTTTCAGCGATATCATTCTCTAGCTGTACAAACGCTTATATATATATATTAAATCACCTAGGCAACGGGGGGAATATTTCTAAAGATGTTTCATTTTTTTTCCTTCACGTTCCCCAGTGGAACATAGGTCTTCAAGCTAGTGGCTTGAAGTTTCTGTAGCAGTATTTATTTTACAGGATGGGGTTGCTAGCCTCATGCCCAACCTTTCCTCTTTACCAGTTTTATTTCTGGCTTAGCGAGGTAAAGGAGTGCGCCGGCCGGGGATCGAACTCCGGACCACCTGCGTAGTTGGCGAGCGTCCTAACCGCTATGCCACCGACGCACAAAGATGTTTCATTAGGATTGTAAATTATCGATAAAAAACTACGTGAAATAGAAAGCGTTAATCGGGTAGAAATTGAAATAAGGCTAAATAAGTAAACTAAATGATGTAATATAATTGATGGGATTGAGTACAACTCAACTGACATTGAACAAGAGTCAAGATAACAAAACAGTGGTAATAAGAGATAGAAATTCAATAACGATACAATGATAAAAAATATTAAAAAATTACGTATCAAGTTTTAAGACAGATCAAGTCCATTGTAGATTTACGGGGCTGAACAAAGTTCTTCTGTATGCAGAGTTCAGAGTTCAACATGTGAACTGTCATTTCTTCTGAGGTTTGATTCAGAAGTTTGATTCGTACTGATTTTTAGTAAGGTTCCCGAGTATTTTGTAGATGACTGTAAAGTTCCTTTGTGGGTTAGCTTGATGTTCAGATTCGATCAAGTGTTCCAGAATACAACTGCTGGGAGATCTTTTCGTTCTTTATAAAACCATGAGGATAATTATTTGATGATGTGTTTGGATAGCAGACGCTCAATACATTATTGAATGCCAAGGACGTAGGGAGTACCGGACAGTTGTTTCCTCCTACTCTGGGAATTTTCAGTAATACACAAAATCTAAAAATTCAATCCATTGATCATCATTAGTCACTGAATACGAGAGGCATGTCCTGGAGATCTGACGAAGACATTGTGACGTGTGGCTTTTAGCAAGTTAGTTGTGTGAACATATACTAACCGGTTGAAGTAAGTTACTATTATTCATGAGCCACTGGATTCAGGCAATACGATCCTCTCGAAAAGTGAAATGTACTGGATGCAGTTTATGTTGGCATTATGGGCTGGTACTATTGAGAAACACAAAACTAGTTCAAAAACAGCTAGCCATTGCTCCCTAAGTTTTGCCGCTTCTGCAAATGATCTTGGTTCATACTGATATATATATATATACGTCTGAAGTGTACACTATAAGGGGAATGACGAGTTGGCCATCAGTTTGACGGTGACATGGAAAAGGTTGTATGAGAAGTGAAGAGAAGCATATAAGACGCAATCGTGCACACAGCTTATAAATACTGCAGAGAACAGAGGTGGATTACAGATGTACTACTGAAACCCTGTGTTTCACTCGGAACCCAAGGTTATAATAATAAAATAACAATAATAATAAAAGGAAATCTAATTTAAAGTTAATTTATATGCATTTTACATTGATTGATTATGTTTGTCTGAAATTCTCCGTCTCTGTTGCCATACCGGTTCTTATTACGAACGCTTCGACGACACCTGAGGCTTAAGTGATGTCATTTTGGTTGATAATGACTAGCAGCGGAATCCAGGACGTGCATTTCATCGTATTTGGGATGACATTCACCTGGCGGCCGGATTACGCCGCCTACATTTCCCAGATAATCACCATCAACCAAAATAAGGAAATACACACTTTAAATCAGTCAGTATATTCAATTTTCTGAGGAAAAGAATCATACAAATTATTGGTAAAACAATTTGAAATGACACCTACCCACAGCTTATAGGATCTTTGGGGATTTCGACTAATCTAGTTTCAAATATATTAGATTTCGTTAGGAACCAATATCGGTTAGACAGAACATTAAAAACTAGGAACAGCTGGACTTGAAACTAAATTTACTCCTAATTCCCATAAACTCCATAATCTGTATACACTGTCCTCCAGATTGTCGATGACTACAGGATGGATATCATGAAACTGTGTACTCAGAAGTCGTGACCAGAAGGGTACACCATGTCATTGTGAGCGAAGTGGATTCTCATCAAAGGCCTCGAAGAGAATAGACGTTTATCACAAGTTGACGAAATTAAAAATCATGAATGATCGATTTCCAACCCAAGCGGTTGAATGGTCAGCAAGGTTGGCCTCATAATCTTAATAAAGGTCCTGGGTTCAATCCCTGGTGCGCACTACTCAGTGTAGAGTCCCAAAAACGGACGAAACAATTGTTCAGTGCTCCTTAGTTTTCAATAATGTCTCTAACTGATTTTGGTTAGTGATGAAATCCAGTAAGTGAGACTCACTCTCGAAATGGGTCCGTTTGATTTGATAAGCAATAAACCGTGTTGAATATTGCATGTACAATTTAAACAAATCAATAGTTTCACTGAGTTTGTTATTATTATTACTATTATTATTATAAGTAGTAGTAGTATTTCACTGGTAAGATTAGGCTTGTTTTCTGCATCATTTGCAGTTGAGTTTTATTGTTTCTTCTCCTTAAATGATCAAGAAAGAACAGTAATTGTGTTTCACACGTGCACACGCACGCAGATGGAGGGGGAGAAGCAGAGTGACAGGGAAAAGACAACTGGGGGAAAAGTGACCAAAAATATTTTTTGTCATTACTCTTCAATAGACTTATTCACTTAGTTGATCTTCGCATTTTCCTTTGAAACAATTCTAAAAATAGAATTTGAAAGGAAAAACAAGATTATGTAGCTAACTGGAAAATTTGTTGGTGATTTGATAATCAGAGTAAACTTCAAAGTGTCACGATTCGAAATGAGACGGAAGACCGGTTGGTTGTTGAGTGACTTTGTAGTCTAGGCATAAGAGTTTTGAGTAATAGGAAAACAACAATCCCTGGTGAGATAGAAGCAACGAATACCAAGCTACACACATACACATCTCATGCACCAATAGGTCGATTTCACTGGTCATCTCTGAGAGGTGAAAACATGGAATATAGACGAATTCCAATTCATTATTATTATATTATATTATTATTGTTCCCTTGGGTTCCTAGTGGAACATACGGCTTCAACTGCACGCCTCCACTTGCTTCTGTCTTGTGCTGTACTTTTCACTTGCATCCATGTTAATCCATACTGTTCCAGTTCCTCATCACACGATCTCCTCCATGTCACCCTTGGACGTCCCACTCACCGCTTCCCTTTCGGGTTCCACTCGAGCACTGGCCTGACGCGCGATGTCACCCAACGGCCTCCCTCCTCAGTGAGTGTGCAATTCATCTCCACTTTCTCCTGCATATTTCTTGAGCGATTGGTTCCTGTTTTGTTTGTTCCCATAGCTTCTTGTTTGTGATTATTTCCGGCCATCTGATCTTCAGTATAGAGTCAGCGAAGACAGCTGTTGATAAATGTCTGCAACAGGCTGTTGGAAATATTCTTTGTGACCCGCCACCAAGTTTCTGATCCGTATACAAGAAGTGACTTGACGTTTGTATTGAAAATCTGAATTTTGTTGTTGATGCAGGCTGAGTGACAGCGGAAGATTTCCAGATTGGTTGTTTCAGGTTGATGAATGTGTTTCTCGCCTTCCCGATTCTCGCTCGATTTGACATCTTCCTCCGTTTCACCTGCCTGTAGTTGAGACAATGCTCCCTAGATAAGTGAATGAATGAGGTAACCTTTTTCAAATCTCTCCCGTTGATGGTGATTGGCGCTGGATGTTGCTGCTGTTGTTGCTGGTTGGTTATTTTCATAACCTCCGTCTTGTCTATATTCACCTGGAGTCCTGTCTTTGCTGCTTCTTCGACCAGTTTGTCCAATTCATTAGGTGGATACATAATTGCTACTGGAGAAACTAAGCCTAAATAAGCCGTTCGCCTCTCCTTGTTACGTCTGATGCTGACAAAGACTTGAAAGCAGTATATCGTGTATGATGTCTTCTGCGGGAATCTTGAATAGCAGAGGGTTATAAACCGAGGAGACATGAAGACCATTGTTGACCAGTGCACATCATGAAATCAAGGCAAAAGAAGCAGAATATGAATAGATTTCTGAGGTTGATCCTAGCAGAGACACCAAATGTAGAGGGAGAACACAGTGGTAATTTAGAGCAGAATTGTACAACGACGACGAAAAATAAAAGAATCTTCCATTGAACCTCAATTTTAGCGAAGCTCTTCGTATCGTGTTTCTTTCGTCTTCATTTCAAACATTGTGTATGGATTGTTTCACAAGGATCTTTCATTTGTCCACTTTTTGCAACCTAATCCGTCGCACGTATAATGTATATTGCTTAGAAATTCTTGTTGGCAGCATACACCACTCCAGGAGCACCCACCTGTCCAGCATTTCGCAGTTTTGATGTCTATTTTAGTGACATACGCTATTATTATTATTATTTTTGCCTTAGATTCTGAGTGAAACATAGAGTTTCAGTGTTACCTCTCTTTTGTACTTCGTTCTCTGCAATCATCTTCAGCTGGCTTCACAGCTACTGACAAGCTTTCATTCCCGTGTTGGGTGCAGGCCTAATGTGTCATTTTCCATTCGGATTCTACTCGATGGCCTGCCTAAATATCTCTCTCCTCAATGTGTGTATGCGATCCATCTTTATTTCTTTCTCTCCAGAGCTGTTGGCTGCCAGACCTCTTTTTTTGTTTATCCAGTCATGTAGGTTCGTCATATGACTTAATCTGATACATATTCAGGGTGATTTATCTGCCTATTTTTTACATTCACTTTTCCTTTTTGTAGAATGAATGTGTAAGTCGAAGTAATACACCGAATAGTAAGAAGACTACAGCGATCTCTGGATCGTCATCCTCCTCTGCATCATTATCTGGTGAAGAAGGCGATAACATTAAAGATGACAATCGTGTTAGAGGTGGTAGTGGAACTAATGGAAAGTCATCCAGTCATGATATATTATCATTAATGCAAGAATTTAATTCCCACAATCGATTAAATACGAATACAAATAAGCCAAATTTTAAAACACAAATTAATTATAAAGATTTTCATAAAAATTACAGTTTTCCAAATGTTTCACCAACAGAAATTATCAATCAATTACAAGAACACCTGACTAGCAGTTTAATTGACAGTCATTCAAAGCAAGGCAGTAAAAAATCTTCGAATAAAAATGATGAAATTAATGACAGTAATAATTCAAAACATTCTAAACATCAGCATAAACATTTCGGTCCAGTGATTTGTCTACCGTGTCGATGTCGTGATCCATTTGTCGCGTGGATGAAACCACCGTTCAATGAAGTAGTCACTGGTGGGATATCTGGATGTCTGCCGTCCTGTCATAGTCCAGCATTTGCTAATCAATCAGATAAGACATTTGCAACATTTTGGCTTGGTTTATGGGCTGTTCTATGCATTCTGTCAACACTGGCTACTGTAGCCACATTTCTTGCTGATCCCGGCCGTTTCCAGTATCCAGAACGTCCAATTATTTACCTGTCAGCTTGTTATTTTATGATTGCACTTGGTTATTTAATACGTGTTGGTATGGGTCATGAGAAAATTGCTTGTGATGGACCAGTTCTTAGAATTGGTACAACTGGACCTGCTCAATGTAGTATTGTCTTTCTATTGACTTATGTTTTTGGTATGGCATCTTCTGTTTGGTGGGTGATACTTACTCTGACATGGTTTCTTGCTGCTGGATTAAAATGGGGCACAGAAGCTATTGCTAAGTATTCTCAAGTAAGTGATATATACATGGCATAGTATTCAAAATATATATATTTCACATCTTATACAGAATCTTTTTAGCAAGGAATTGAGTTTTATGCCAAATTCATCAGCGAATACCTTTTATTGATTTTTTTACCCCAATTCTAAACGTGAGACAGTTTTAAGAATAGTTTCCGAAGTATTTACGTCATTCGTCAGTGAAGGGTCAACATACGTTTCTTAATGAAGGAGAAATCGAATTCGCTAGTTGTTGAGAATGGCGAATGTCTCACTTCCCCTACAGGAACATGTTGAGCACGTCGTTTGCACTTTGGATACTAAAATGCATTATGTTATCCAGCTTTTGTACAAATTTTGTCATCACTTAATATGACTGCCATATCGTACCTAAAAGGGCATATTAACCAGTTATTGCCGTAACCTGTTAGCCAACGGAAGGGCAGAATTATTTTTCGACTTGAATCTAAAGCTCCTATCATAGGAATATGTAACTGGTGAACAAAACCTTCCACATAGTTTGTCGAGAGTTAATAAGTAACGTTTTAGCAAAAGATTGGGATCTCAGTGAATAAGCAGCTAATTTTGATCTCGAGATTGACAAAATTTATCAACCGATAAGAAAGAAACCTCACACACACACACAAAGGGTCAAAGTTCAAGTCAAAGAAACAATCAGTTCCAATACAAGTAACCTAGAAGGTGTGAAAACACAAAAAAACAACCAATCACGTCCAAGGTCACCCACCAGGAGAGATGATTAATAAACTCGTGGAGAAATCTAAAAGCTCACTTCATCAAATTGAAGTATGAGCTGAAGATGTTACCTAGTAGGGTGATGAAAGCTTCGCAAATTAACTATCCAGCTCAGAGAACACAACCACATCAAAATCATCCACCTGAGCTACAAATCTTCTCCATCATATCTAAGCAGCTAATTGTACGTGGCGTAGCGATTTATTAAACGGTGTGTTAAATAACGCAAATGTACACTATTCAGATTATGGAATTCGTGGATATTTAGATTAATTTAATTTCCTTTGTGTGTGTCGGTGGCACAGCGGTTAGGACGCTCGCCGACCATGCACATGGTCCGGGGTTCAAATCCCGGCTGACGCACTCCTTTACCTCGCTAAGCCAGAAATAAAGCTGGTAAAGAGGAAAGGTTGGGCATGAGGCTAACAACCCCATCCTAAAAAAATAAATACCACTGCTACAGAAACTTAAAGCTTCTAGCTTGAAGCCCTATGTTCCACTGGGAATGTGAAGGAATATTTAAAAAAAATTTCCCTTGTTAGATTTTGTCACCAACCAACATCATTTAAAGAAATCAGTGGAATCCAGGGAGCAGTGGACAACTGTTTCGTTATAATTTGGGAATCTTTAGTGAGTAGTGCGGAAAAATGACCCCGTCATCAGGAATCGAACCCGGGACGCTGAAGCTATGAGATCAACCCCGCTAACCATTTAGCCAATTGTACCGGACGGAATTCACTGATGTGTGATTTCTAACTACGTCAGCTTGCGATATAGCACTACACTCATCACCGCCTTCGATGAGCTTTCAGTTCCTGCCTTCATCAATAGTTAACCAGTGTAAAGACTCAATCATATTAATTCTTGTGCTTGATGGCATACATGACTCTGTCATCCTGTTGTGATGAAATTTCGACAAAATTGTTTATTTAACTTGTTGATACACTTCATTAATTAGTGTAAAGTGACCTTTATCAAGACTGGATTGGAAACGATGGCACTTGAACTAGGGACCCATTTGCGAAAGTTAACTGGTCGATCCAATTAGCAATGTCTTCACGACCTACATATCAATAAGAAACTTGATTATCACGTGTGCAATTGACCAAAAAAGAAGTGAATAGAAGACTTCAGAAGAGAAAACCTTTTCATTTCGATGTAGTTTTTTACGAGGAAACAAAATCAGTTAGAGAGAGTAATTGAAAACTTAGGGGTACTGGATAATTGTTTTTGTCCCGATTCGTGACTCTTTAGCATTACTCATACATGATTCAACAAGAGATCGAACTCCAAACATCAATCTCCAGATGATTAAGGGCTACTGAACGAATGTCCTGAAGTTTTAATGAGAAGTTGTTCCTGGTGGGTTCCATCATTTCAGAGTGAATTGAATCCTCCTCGTCAGTGGCATTGGTTGATTATAGGGATATGTAACGCAGACTAACATTGGTTGGAATTCATAGGCTATTGAATGGTTAACAAGCCAGCCTCGTAACCATAACTTCCTGCGTTCAACCCCTGGTAGTGGGGTCATGCTTATACAGTACTGAAGAGTAGTCCCGAACCATTAAGAAATAGGTGTTCGTAGCTCCTTAGTTCTCGGTGATTCTCTAACTGGCGCTGGTTTGTAAGGAAGTCTTCAATGAAATATCTTTCCATTAAAATTATCAAAATTCTATCAAGATTATATATCTTCTAAATATCCTCTTATGTTTCAACCTTTTTTTCTCTTACAGATTTATCACTTTTTCGCCTGGTTTTTTCCTGGTGCACAAGCCATTTTTGTTCTAATCTTATCAGCAGTTGACGGAGATCCTGTCGGTGGATTATGCACTGTCGGTTCAACAAATTTAGCCTATCTACGTATATTTGTATTGGCGCCAATGTGTATTTATTTAGGCCTTGGAACTGTATTCCTATTGGCTGGTTTTGTAGCCTTATTTAAAATTCGCAGTGAAATTAAACTACAAGCAAGAGGTCATTTAAAAACAGATAAGCTAGAAAAATTGATGATACGCATTGGAATATTTGGTGTATTGTATACAGTCCCAGCAACAGTTGTCATTGCTTGCCATTGTTATGAATTATATAATCGTGATGCATGGAATAGAGCTCACAATTGTCCTTGTGCTCCATTACCGTATATTAAAGATATATCACAAGAAAATGTTCTGGAGAAGTTGAAAACTCTACTGGCCAACAATTATTACCATTCATCTCCGAATGGAGATAAATTGATGGATAGAAAGGATGGTTTTACGCTGCATTTAAATCCTCCAGCCCACGCGGTTGGTCAACCTGAGTATGCAGTATTCATGCTAAAGTATTTCATGTCTTTAGTTGTTGGCATCACCTCGGGATTTTGGATATGGTCAAGTAAAACAGTCGACTCATGGCAATCGTGTCTGAAACGCGCTTTCAATCGGTCTTATTCAACAAGTACTAAAAGAAATCAAACTGGATCTATGGCGATACTAAGTCATACTGGAGCACTATTACCCAACCGTTCTCCACCACCGAATCCAGGAACAATTGGATGGAATACTGGTCAGTCAAAAGTTTGGCTGAACAGTAACAGTAATCCTAAGCTTTCTGGTGGACCAACTGTTGGCGGTGTGAATAGTTGTACAACATGGCAAGATGATTACATGTCCACTAACAATAATAATAACAACCGTCTACTTCCTCAACCACCTCCAGTAGCAGTGGGAGCAGCAGCCAGTTTAGCCTGCAATCATTCTGCAGTTAATCATTTGAGTCATACAATGCCTATTATCCCCGGTGGATCAGTGATTGGGACACCGGGAATTTCACTTTCAGGCTTACATGGTAACTCTGGATCATTTACCAGCGGTCCATTGGAAGGGACTGCTATCAGTGCAGGCAGTACAACAAACTTACCGATTCAACAACAACAACAACACGCTGGACGTAAAATCGATGGGAATAGTATGTTTATCATGTCCTCAGTACCAATGACACATATCTAACTAAACAACAACCAATGACATATACGCAATTAAAAGGTCGATTGTCTCTAAAAAAATGGCCTTCCATTAGACACCATTAGTACATTATCTGGCTGAATATTTTCAATCCCGGTTTCATATTGTTAAAAAATCCTATGAATATGTCTACAAAAACATAATCAATACTTGTTTAGTTATCTTTCAAGTTGAACACTTATACTATCACTTAAGTGAATGAGACAATCTTCAAAAATATATTCACATATATATACATAATTTCATTATTCTGCATTTTCATTTTAGTATCAATAGTATTCTGTTGTCTTTATATCTGTACTAGTTATAACAAGCCATCAGGATTGTTTTAATAAGAAAAATTCAATTCAACCACCAAAACTTCCTTGAATATCTTTAATAACACTTAATGCATTAAAACAAAATATCGTGGATTATGTATTTATCCATTGAACAAGTTAATCAATGAATGAATGAATCAATCAATCAATCATAGCATTTCAGGCAGCGATAAATGCTAAATTGTAATTATATTTTATTGTTTTTGGTTTAAAAATTATATATATAAGACATTGTCAACTTTTCTTTTCTTTACTTCTTCTATGCGTTACAATCTCTAACAATTTCCTAATTAATTATTGGTAAAAGTTAGTAGCGTGAATATCTGAACATTTCACTGATTTCCGAACACTATGGATTCAATGGATGAATATTGAATGTTGAATAATGAATCGCCGCTCACTATGATTTGATTTGTACATAAGTTGACCCAAAAATGGATGATTGTTGTTTTTTATTTGTGCATGCTAATAATTATAATCAGTTATTTACAGTACAATAGCTCAAAATGGTGCCTTTTTTGTCAGATCTATTAAGATCTGTTTGACGTTTAAAACTATACTACTATTAGGATTTAATTTATCCGGGTAATTTTTAACTGAAATAATAATATACGTATATAAATATATACTACTTATTATTTCGTGAGTAATCTTTCTGTGCATTTTTTTGTGTACTTTATTACATAATCATTTATATATATAGACATCATAAATCTGTACATATTTTTATTTGAAAGTATCTTTATTTATGTCGTGAACGCTATATATATATTACTGAATTCATAGACAAATAAATTTTCTTATATTATCCAGTCACCTTTTTCATCCCTTCACGTTCCGAGTGGAAAATAGAAGTTCAGTGTACTGGGCCAGGTTGCCAGCCGCACTCCAAACCTATACCCTCTTTTACGAGCATACTATCGTCTGGTAAACTAGGTAAGGCTTTTATGCGTGAGTCAGTAAGGAATCACACAATGGATTAGGCGTTTAGACTGAAAATCTCGAAATTGGGCAAAGTTTCATTTCGACAGTGTATATATGTGTTCTGTTAGTGATTGGATATGTATTCTCACGGAGGAGTAACATCATTACTGACCAGTTGTTATGTTTGAGTAACGATACAAGAAGCGTATCTCTATTTATGTTTGGTAATTATATTAACGCGAATAAAATAACATTGAAAGGTTATATCTCGTTTACACTATATATATAGTATCGATTCCTCATGAATTATTTTGAATTGGAACTTGAACTACTTTATTCAAATGTCAGTAGTTGTTGATAAAGACATGAATTTGAACAAAGTAATTATAAAAAACACTTTGAACACAAAGAAACGAATCTAGTTTAATTTCAAAGTGAGTAGAACAGGTTTCATATTTGAATCTCCAATCGCGCCTTTCTTTAGAAGATCCCTTAAACGACCTAATATGCGTTTCTCTGTTGCCTGAGTCTCATCATCAGATATCACATTCTGATTTTGTCACATCTATCAGGTTCGAACTTGAACGAACGAGTTACTTCGCTAACATCTCTTGACAACTACTTATTAAAATTTCAACATACTTAAATTGATTACAGAGGCAACTTCTGAACAATAATTCAGAATGATCGTGACATATAGGTCGTTCGAAATGTTAGATTAGTGAAGTGAAACGAATTATTGCAGGTATCAGTGGAATGTAATTGAAGTTCCTTGAAAAGCAAGGACAGAATTAGCATGAAATGTTGAGAGCTCTTTAAGTTAGATATCAGATAACAGGAGATATTAAAAAGACGGTTGCACTGGAGAAAATTTTCTTTTTTTTTGAGGTAGTCATCAACTGATCTGTACATTCGTGTATTTATTTATAGGGAGTGAAATCAAGGCATATGGGCATAGCTGAGACACTGGCGATCCAAAAGTTCAAGTCCATGTTCTATATTCAGGAGAAATATCTCCAACTGTTGTCTCTATCACGGCCATCAATTCTCTCAATAGTGATTAATTATCTGATTGCCTTTCTTATCCAACCATCTTGTTGATTTCTCTTATTTCTACATTTTTTAAATTCCTATCTGTCCTACTATTTCTTTTTATCCAAACTTACTGTCTCTTTTGTCACTACTAAGTTTTTAATCCCTAACTGTACAAAAGATCAAATTTCACGATAATTTATTATCCTACCGTGGTTTTTATTTAGTCTTCCTGTTTATTATACTTTGCAATTTTTATTGATTTGACCCTTGACCAGAAAGAGTCCTGGGACTTTCTCACCCGGTTTACTATAACTACAGGAATGTACATCCCAACTGATGACTTCATTGAAAAGGGAATTTCCTTTGCTGCAACCGTCTTTCTATTATTCCCTAAGTTATAAGATGCACAAAGCATATGAATTAAAAAGGTGATTATGTCAGTAAGTAAGAAAGACAGTAAATCAACACTTATGTTTGATAAAAGATTAGGTAGTAATTTAAAGATCAAGCACCAAGGTAACGTAGGGGAGAGACAGACTGACTATGGGTTTGTTTTTAGTACACAAATCAGGTTTCAGATGTTTAGTAGTGATCGCTTCAAAGAAATTCAAGAGGCTTGAGAGTGTCTAATTATTGATTATCTCGATGGAATTTACCGTCACAGCATATAAATGATCATGCTCTTAAGGATTTTCATCATGAGCTGACATTAGCTAGAGAACCATTGGAAAACCAGCAAGGAGTACTGGACAGCTGTTTCGTCCTAGTTTGGGACTCTTCATAAATACGCACCCACCGGTGTTTGAACCCAGGACCTTCTGGTTACAAGGCTGGTGAGCTCGTATACCATTGAGCCACTGGGACCCGATCCAATGGCCCATGAATTCTAACTTCTGCTGTTAAGGATTAATGGTTGTATTTTTTATAATAACTAAGGTGAGGTAATAGTTGTACATGACAGCTACCTACAAAGAGCGTTTGATGACATCATGAAATGTTGTCTACTATTTTCATCAAATCTAGCACCCTTTTGTCCTGAATTTGTCAGGAAACTACACTGGACTGCCTGTAATTAGGAAAAGTAATTTCAGATAGTCATTTAAACTCACTGTGGAGCAGGTATATATATATATATAGCTGATGATTCCCAAAATAGGACGTAACTATGGACTATTGTTAGCTGATATATACATGTCCTATGTTAAGAACTTTACTATGGACATAATTGGAGAAGTTTATTTTTACAAGACATACGTGTATGAAATAATAGTCTTTTGTGAAAAACTGACAGATGCCGTATAAATCTGTAATCAGATTAGTACAGTACAAAATGGTATATCTCTAATATACGTGATCTCAACTTCATCGACTTTGAAAAGGCCCTCGACAGCGTCGATCGAGAGGTGATTTGGAAACTACTTCGCTTCTACGGTGTGCCACCGACAATTATACATCTCATCCAACAGCTGTACGACAATGCTGCATGCCAAGTAATCCACAAAGGGAAACTTACGGAATCCTTCGAAGTGAGATCGAGGGTAAGACAAGCTGGCTGCCTAGTATCGCCAATGATTTTCCTGATTGCAGTAGATTGGATAACGCAACAAACACCGGGCAATGAGGAAACAGGCATAAAATGGACTCACACAAAACCTTGGAGGATCTGGACTTCGCCGATGATATATCTACGTCTGATTCCCCACAAACTGGAAGACATGCAAGCAAAAAGCAACAAGTTAGCAGAAGAAGCATCAAAGATAGGACTTCTTTCAGGTAGACATAGGGAAAACAGAGGTGATGAGGATTCCTGGCCAACACCACCAACAGCAAACACAACAACTGACAACAATCAGCCACCATAAATGGGAGGAACCTGAAAGAAACAACCTCCTTCACCTACCTACCTGGGAAGCATCGTTTCAACTACAGGCGAACGGATTTGACGACGTTATCAAAGCAAGAATCGGAAAAGCAAGACAAGCTTTCACTACTCTCAAGTCTGTGTGGACGTCAACAGCACTCAGCATCAAAACGAAGATAAGATCCGGATTTTCAACTCCAATGTGAAGTCAGTCAGTGCTACTCACCATACGGATCAGAGACTTGGCCAGCGCGTCATAAAGAGCATCTCAAACAGACTACAAACCTTCATTAACAGTTGTCTTCGCTCAAGATCAGATGGCTGGCCAGAAAATATCAGCAACAGAGAACTCTGGCAATGAGCTAACCAACCAACCCAGCAGGAACCGATTGTGAAACAAATAGGCAGGAAGAAATGGAAGGAGATGGATTGGCTAGCCATACTCTGAGGAAACAAACCATCAAGTGACATCACTAGACAGGCCATTGCTCGAGTGGAACCCGAAAGGGGAGCGGCGAGTTGGTCGTCAGTGCGAGGGTGACATGGAGGAGGTCATGTGAAGAGGAGATGAAAACGTGTGAGCAGACTTGGAACCAGGTGAAGATTCGAGCAGAGAAGCGAACTCAATGGAGACGCACGGCTGAAGCCCTATGTTCCTGTAGGAATTAAAGGATACAATAATAATAATATACTTGAAAGAGAATAATGATTGCTTGCCATTTTTAAATGTACTCATAACCCGCCGATAACACTGGCCAATAAGACGATCCGTCTACAGAGAGTTCATATGGACAGAACAGTGTCTAAATTGTCATAGTTTCTTTCCAGTACACTATAAAAAAAAGTTTGTTCAGACGCATTCCATATGTATATGTGCAGCCAGCACTATTGAAAAAGAAACACGACACCTCATTGAAATATTGTTAGATAACAACTATCCGTTGAAATTGATCGAGCATTACAGAGTTGTCAGAAAAAGAGCTCTATCGATCCAATCAGCTCTCAAAAAAATATGCTTATATATCCTTGCCTTTTAGGGGTGACCAACAAAGTCTGATAACTAAACAAAGACTCAAGGCATTAGTTAATAGAACTTAGTATGCAGCCAAAATGATTTTCATAGCGAAAAAGAGATCTGTGCTGTCCTGTAAACCGTAACGCCATGCGAACGGCAGTGTCACATCCCCATTGCGTTTACCAATTTATATGTATGTGTGGATGTATGGACACAGGAAGAACCCATCGATTGCGGAAGATTAAGGCCACAGAACATATTTCAAAGTGGCTACAATTACAAATAAAAACACTGGATACAACTGATCCCGGAAATAGATGTCCAAAATCATCTATTGCGAAGCACAACACAAGGCTGATTTCAATAATGCCTTTAAACTCTGGTATAAAACATGGTTGGGTCAAATACTTAGATTCGCTGAAGCTTCGGACATAAAAAAGGCTTAAACCTGTCTTACGTGTCCAAGAATTATTTGTTACTGCTTTGAACGTGTGTTGGTGATCCAATTTAGAACCAAAGTTCAATTCACTTAGTGATATTTTCACCCTCTCTCTCTGTTTTTCTTACCCCACCCCCTTGCGTCATCTTCTTACCTCTTACCTGTGTCCTTGGTCTGTATTGCAAATATTCGCTCTCTTGATGTGGTTGTGTTCTCTGAGCTGGATAGTTGATTTGCGAAGCTTTCATCACCCCATAACTAGGTGACATCTTCAGCGCATACTTCAATTTGAAGTATGCGCTGAAGATGTCACCTAGTTATGGGGTGATGAAAGCTTCGCAAATCAACTATCCAGCTCAGAGAACACAACCACATCAAAATCATCCACCTGAGCTACAAATCTTCTCTATCATTTCTAATTCGCTCTCTCTCTCACTCTTGCTTTTTATATACATGCGTATGACAAGTACGTGTGTGATAAAAATATCCACAGTTTGTTGTGCAAATATATTGGATTTTCTAGTTAAACCACTT